CTCCGGGGGCAGCGGCGGGGGCGGAGAGGCAGCTCATCCTGCAAACCCTCCTCCTCGGACACTCCGGAGCCGCCCGTGCCGGGAGGCGGTGGGGAATGTGTACCTGTGCCAAGAGCGTTGTATCATCCCGGGAATGGGGAAAAAACAACGTCGGGCCGGGAGCAAACATGGGCTGATGCGTCTTGGCCTCGGCCGCGGGGCCCCAGCCCAGGGCCGGCTGCGGGGACGGGGGACGTGGCTGCCCCCCCAGAGCCGGGGACGGCGGTGCCGGGCCCTGGCACCAGCAGCCGGGTCACGAAGCAGCCACGGGTTCAGGACTGGGGGATCCCGGGAATGGGGAAAAAACAACGTCGGGCCGGGAGCAAACATGGGCTGATGCGTCTTGGCCTCGGCCGCGGGGCCCCAGCCCAGGGCCGGCTGCGGGGACGGGGGACGTGGCTGCCCCCCCAGAGCCGGGGACGGCGGTGCCGGGCCCTGGCACCAGCAGCCGGGTCACGAAGCAGCCACGGGTTCAGGACTGGGGGGTCTGAGATGCCCCCTCCATCCCACTTCCATCCCTCGGGAAGGGGCCGCTGCTCCTGGAGCTGCGGCCGGACACAATTTGCTGCCACAACCTCCCCCACTCCTTCCCTGGGAGTGTTTGGAATTAAACCTAAACCAGGGGAATTTCGCCCTCTGGATGGCGTATCCGGCGGGTCACCAGGCTTTGTTTCCAAGAGGCTGCAGAGTTTTTCCATGTCTCGCAGCTCAGCTGCTGGGACCAAGCTTCCCGCTGGGATCCCAGATATGCACCCTATTCCCAGGAACCAACCCTGGGGTTGGCAATCAGCTTCGGATCAGAAGGAAAAGGGCCCAAAGCCGGCAGTCATTCCTAGCACCCACAGCCCTTTTCCCACCCATGTGATGCCTGGGGGTGCTGGCACCCATGGGTGCTCCTTGGGGAGCAGCAGGGTTCCAAAACCTGCACCCAAGTCATTCCCGGCATCAGGATCCCGCCGCATCCGCGACCCCTTCCCGGGCCCCGGCTCGGCGCTCGCAGCGGCAGCTCAGCCACATCTGGGGCTGATTTTCCATCCAAAGCCGCACGCGGCTCCGGGCCGGGCGAGCTGCTCCGGGGAAAATCCCTGCGGGAGCGACGCAGGCGGCCGAGCCCAGAGCGCGGGACGCGGCCAGCATGGAGCCGGGCGCTCCGTGACCTCAGCACCACGTGCGCCCGGCAAGGAAGGAGAAACGGAAACGCGGCCGAGTTAAAAATAACCTTTGCCGGGCTTTTCCTCCCGGGGAAAACGGGCACGACCCGCGGATGCTTCACACTTTCCACCCCAGCACGTGGCACCCACTGGTGCCTGGCGTCACCCACTGTCATCACCAGGGCAGTTCCAGCCAAGGAAATAGAAAATAATCATTAAATAATAATATTAATTGTAATAAAACCATTCTCAGGAGTGGGATGCAGCCACGGGAGAGGGTGGTGAGGATGGTGGCAGAGCCACAAGGCCGGGTCTCATCCAGCCAAGCTCCCTCTGGGAACATGGGGTGTTCCATGGCTGCTCCATGGATGCTCCGTGGATGCAGGTGGATCCGTTGCGGCAAGCAGCAGGTTGAGGCAGCGGAGCCAAAACCGCACTCGGCACCTCTGCCCCGTGCCGGAGCCGCCGGCATCTCCCGGCATTGCTCCCGCCCGCTGGCTGTATCCATGGGGAACGGAGCCGTCGACCCGGCGCCGGGTTGGAAGAGGAGCCTGCTGGCTGCAGGAAAATAAAAGTGGAAAAAAAAAATGGGAAAGTCCCTGGAGCGGCCACGCGGAGCTGCTCCCGCTTCCCACCTGGCCTCATCCCAAAGGGAAAAGGCAGCGGGAGCCACACGCAGGGTGGAAGCTCTTTTCCAGGCGAGCTCTGCGGAGCCCGTGTGCTGCTTGACCTAAATTCCGTCTTTCCATGGCGGGAAAAGCAGCATCTGAGCCCACCGTCAGGAACCGGTGCCCACACCGAGCTCCGTCCCCGAAGGCAAATCCGGGCACGGGGGGGGAACC